TTTTTATAATATATATATATATATATATATTTTTTATAATAAGATTATAAAAATTATTATATTATATATTATCACACATAATTACGAAAGAGTAATCTAATTGTAAGTCAAAATTAAAAAAGGAGTTTTTTAATTACTTCATATCACATTATTTTAAACTAAATTAATTCAATGTAGTTTTGACATTTATTATTTCAACGTTATATTGAATTTATGCAGTGTTCAAATGAAATTCTTTAAATATCTCGAAACAAGAGATATATGATTTACAATTAAACCACTTTCATAATTATGGGTACACATATATTTATTTCTACATGGGAATAAACAATATATAGGAAATATAAATAATTTAAATTTTTTCTCTTTTTTTTTTTTTTTTTTTTTTTTTAATTTAGCGACCCAGTTCGCCATACCGGAAATAGAAAAATGGAAGTACGGGCCGGAAATAAATTATCAATTAAACATATTGACAACCAAAACCAATGAGGGGGAAAATGATCCAGTACAAATGGATATAAATGGTGATGTAGGATGTCGGGTAAAAAACGAGGACACTCTTCTATGTCGTATTTCTAGAATGAATTATCGTATGGTTGATATGACTAACAACGTCAACGAAACCGGCGACATTTTCGTCAATCAGAATTTTGAATTAGGATACAATGAAAATGGCATGAATAGATGGAATATGAAAAATCCGATCGACATAGATCATTTGAAATTGATACAAAATTTTGCAGCTCAAATGACCATAGGTGTTAATATTCGTCAATATATGGGGGTGTCCACTTCGTTCGTAAAAAAAGAAAATTTTACTATTGGCGAATGCAATACTGCTTTTAATATTTCTTGGCAAGAAGATAATCTTTCTTCCTTGGAAGAAGAACAAAAGGAATCATCGTCTGATGAACAAGATGATGTGAAATTAACATTGATCGGCGTGCCTAAAAAATCTGGAAATATCAACCTGATTATAGAAAAATTCCGAAATCCAAAAAGATGCGTTAACAGTAATTATTATTTATCCTGGTTAACAAGAGGCAACCTGGAAAAGAAAGTGGTGAGTGTTTGCCTAAATTTAAAAAAGTTTCAATTTCAATTGTAATCATATTAATTGGAAAATATTTTGTTCAAAGATATCCTCGTTCAGTAGGATAACGGTTAAAGAAAATGAATCCTTCGAAAGTTTTACGGTAACAACGATCAAGGTAAAATTTCAAAATTCTGCAATAATTCATGAATTTGCCAAGGTCAAATTGAAGAGTATTACCGAAGCAACTGGCCCGCTTCCCACGATACCAAATTATGGAACAGATGGCGAAAACATGTTAGAAAATCACTTTACCGATTAAAAATACATCCTTTCAGATATTTCTTTTTTGACTTTAAACGCATGTTTAGTAGTTAATATTTTCGATTAAATAAATTCTTCTTCTATTGAAATAGTAGACACTTAATTAACTTTTTTTTTGGTCTTTTAAATTAATACATTATTATTAACAAAGTAAAGAATATTTAAATAGATTGAATGAAATCAATTATTTTATCGTTCCCACATAATTTTTTTTTTGCAAACGTATATCAGACACGCAACTAAAAATGAATGAAATTCTGCGACATTAGAAAAGAAGATTGGAAAATTCTTAGTAAATTCGTCTAATCATCGTTTTACTTGTTCCTCTTAACGAGTTGATTAAATTACTAGACAAGGCCGATTATTATAAATTGTAGGTAACGTGAAAGGACCTTCAAACTTGAGAACAGAGTCAAACCAATTAAGCTTTCAACTAATATTTCATTTTCTATTAAAATCATGCAAAATTAGAAAATGTCATTATATACGTATCATCATTGGGTTACGTCATTCTATCAGTAAAGATTAGGGACATTTTTCTTGTTTATTTCAATGACGAATATACAAGTTAATAATTATTATGACTTACGTTGTACACCTCATTACGGTATATTTCATAATATGCGCTATTAGAGTTTTCATGATATCTGCTCAATTCAAATGGTTATTATATTTTTTGTTTCTTTCATACATTATCGACCATAAATTCTAACCATTATATATGTTATTCAAATTGCAAATTTTTCTCTAATTTTTCATTCTTTCTTATTTTTTTTTTTTACTGTAAATTAATTAGGAATCGTTTGATTACTTTCATAGTCTAATATGTGCTATCTAAGTTGTCTTATCGATCATTCTAATCTCGATCAATTTCCTCTTGTTTATTCAATGATATTTATTATAAAATATTACGATTATTATCTTCGACAGATTCGCATTAACAAATATTTACGCATTTGATTCGCAATCAATTAGTTTTCATTTTTGATATGATTCGACGATTTAAATGCATTTTTTTCAAACAAGAATGGTCTCTCTTCTTTTTTTTACGAGATATCTACAAATGGGATATGCACATAATTATTGCACTATTCGGTTTTCCTCTTTTTCGTTTTCAAACAATCATTGAAATTTGACAATATATTTAATATTTAATAAAAATCTAATCTCGCGCGCGCACGTAGAGAGAGAGAAGTAAGATAAACGTAGTAATTGTTTTTTAAAAGAGCTTCCTTAGAAATGTCTACTAATGGAGCTCAAAGAAATTAGATACGTTTACAGATACGCGTAAAAATAGAAGATCATAGCTTTGGTGGGACAGTATTGATTCTAATCTATCAGCAGATATTTTCTAATCTTTTTTTTTCTATCCTTACTCATAAATGCTATCATACTTCTTTTCCTTTATCATTCGACATTGTATAAATCTATTTGATAGAAATCATGAAAAAGAACAAAAAAATGAAACAACAGTTCTATCATTAAACCTTTTATAATGGCACGATTTGCGATGATATTTTGTGCAGGTTGATCTCTTATCAAATTATATCATTTTAGTAGATCATAGAAAAACACGATTACAAATAATTTTATCGCTTTGTTAATACACCATATTATTAGGAAAAGTTATTTAAAAAAGAGGTTTTATTCTGAAACGGTATTGCTTCGAAGGTCTTTGTAAAATACTTCGGAGAAAAATTTTATCAAGATTTTGGAATGTTATATAATATTCCTAAAATAGCAACAATATGCATAAAAACCTTGTTCAAACATTATTTATCGATTGGTATTCCTTATACTAGAAAGATTCTTTTCTACTAACCTTTCGATTGACGTTAACATGATTGAAAAATTGTAAAACAACGTAGCTGTAAGCTATATATATATGTATAAGGACAGTCCTTTTATATTATATATTATAAATGCATATCTGTGTATAAATGATATATATACACACAAATATATATTATATATATATTATATATATA